GTTGAAAACTGTAGCCCTCACTGTGAAAAAGTCATTGCCCTTCATTTCTGAGATGAATCAAATTAATGGTATGAGTCTGTTGAACTTATGTTAACCTGACTTAAAACGGCTTGTGTAACTTATAAAATTAAGTTAGAACATGATTAACTTAGTTTACTGAGTTACAATGACCTAAATACACATGATGTCCGCAGGGCGGATTGAGCAGTTAGGAGGCCCTATATAAGCAGCTCCAGCCATGGAGCCCAAGTGCTGAAATCCACCCTTTCTACAGTTATTTAATAAGTATTTATTTTGCTGCTTTTTTAAATATCACTAAATCTTCATTTCTATATTTAATCTTGCTGAAATCTCTACATTTTAAATTGTTGGTTTTCTTAAAGTTTATTTACAACTAAAAACAATATATTTTTTTTGTAAATGTGACTGCCGGACTGCTTCATGATTTGACGAGTGGATATTTTAGTTTATAATATCATTATTAAACTACATTATTGACTCTTGCTATACAAAATATGATAGAAAATAATGTTGTACAGAGTTTCTTAGTTATACTTCTTGATATTTCTTGGCGGCCCCTGGATGTCAGGACTTGATCATATTTTTTACAGCGTATATGTTGTTTAGACTTTCAGACAGGCAGTTTATCAGGGTTATTTTGAAAAACTGTGTGTAATTGTTTGTTTTTTAACATGGTTTTCTTTACAAATAAATTTGCTAAAAATATCTGAAGGTCATATTTATGATTTATTAGCTTTAAATCTATATAACAGAGTCACAAGGTAAAAACGTGTGACTTGCTAAACTATATTGTTTAAAAATAGATTTAAAAAAGTGAAGTGAAAATGTTTATGTGGGTAAAATGTTTAGGAAATAGTGACCAGTTACACATTTCCCTCACACACACACATTTATTTACTTCTGCTTATATCATACATATCTCACATAATGCTTAAAAATAATAATAAATAAAAATACAAAAATACAAAAAAAAAAAAAAAAATATATATATATATATATATATATATATATATATATATATATATATATATATATATATATATATATATATATATATATATTTATATATTTATATATATATATATATTTAAAATAACTGTTTTCAAGTTTTCAATGTATTTTAAATATTATTTAAAATGTCATTTATTCCTGTGATTTTGAAGCTGAATTTCTAACATCATTACTTCAGTCACATGATTCTTCAGAAATCAGTGATTCATTCATTCATTATCTTTTTGGCTCAGTCCCTTTGTTAATCCGGGGTCGCCACAGTGAAAGGAACCACCAACTTATCCAGCATATGTTTTACACAGTAGATGTCTTTCCAGCTGCAACCCATCACTGAGAAACACCCATACACACACACTCATTCACACACACACTTATACACTACGGCCAGTGTAGTTGATCAGTTCCCCTATAGCGCATGTGTTTGGATTGTGGTGGAAACCGGAGCACCCGGAGGAAACCCACACCAACACGGGGAGAACATGCAAACTCCACACAGAAACGCCAACTGACCCAGCCGAGACTCCAACCAGAGACCTTCCTGCTGTGAGGTTATCCATTAAGCCACCGTGCCGCCCTACAGATATTATAAAGGTTAAAATAATTCCACTTGTATTTTTCTTTTCCATTGTATTTTTTAACACTAAAGACTAAAGAAAAGACAATAAAATGTTTTATTAAAAATATAATAATAAAAGTAATTAATGAAATAAATAAATCTCATCCTTTCATAACACAGGAAACACAATTATGAAACAAAAGATATGAAATTATGAAACGGCTCTAATTGCACATTGTGTGTCTTCCTGCTGTGTTATTGTCCCTTAACAAGTTATACAACCTTGCATGTTTGACAATTGCACGGCACCTGGACTCTGCCCGCATATATAAACCTTATCAACACACACAAAAACACGCACATGCACGAGTACGCACCCACACACACACGCATGCACGCACACAGCAGGCGAACATCAGTTTAAAGAGACAGTTCACCCAAACATGAACATTTACTCATTCATCAATTGGAGAAACACAAAAGAAGATATTTTGAAGAATGTAGCCGATGACATCCACAGTATGTGTCTTTCCCACAATGGAAGTCAGTGGTTTTCTGCATTTTTCTAAATATCTTCTTTTGTGTTAAACAGAAGAAAGAAACTCAGGTTTTGTAGGAGGAGTAAACAGTGAGTAAATGTTCAGTTTGGGTGAACTGACCCTTTAAGATGCTGCAAATACACAATACTGCTTCAAATGTAAGAGACTGGAGAAACATAACAGTAGTATTGCTTTTCTGTGGTAAATTAAATAGACTAGCAGGTTATTCTAGAATTATTTGACTAAACACACAGAGCCAACAGCGTTCTGTTAAAGAGACAGAACACCTAAAACACCATTAATGCAAAGTCCATTAATTCAAAGTCCCTGAAACATTTATATCTGATCATCAACTGCCAGAAGCTCAATCATGTCTACTTTCACATGCGTTTTAATTTCGATACTCTTTAAATGTGTTTTAATTAAATGCTATTTTTACGTTTGTTTTTTGTGCTATTTTTAAAATTAGTTAATTTCGTTAATTTCTTATTTGATTCTATATTGATTAGTTCAATTAAGTTTATATCAATGTTTTTTTTGCATTTTTCATTTTGATACTATTTTTACATTTGTTTTATTTTAATACAATTCTTCAATTAGTTTTTATTTCGATACTCATTTTACATTTGCTTTTATGTTTCAATTTTACATTTGTTATTTTGATACATTTTTTATTTGATATTATTTTTAAAATGACTTTTTGTTTCGATTCTATTGTTAATTTGTTATTTAGATACTATTTTTACATTTGTTTTATTTTGATACAATTCTTCAATTGTTATTTAGATACTATATTTATATTTGTTGTTATTTTAATGGTATTTTTTACATTTATTATTTAGACAGTATTTTTACATTTGTTGCTATTTCAATACTGTTATTAAATTATTTTTTTGTTTTTATTTTGATACTGTTTATACATTTTTTAAATTTCGATGCAATTTTTACATCAGTACTATTTTAAACTAGTTTTTTTTCTGTACTATTTTAACATTTGTTATTATTTCGATGCTATTTATGCATTTGATTTGATTTTGATGCTATTTTTACATTTGCTATTTCAACACTTTTTATATGATACTTTTTTTAAAATGACTTATTTCAATTCTATCGTTAATTTGTTATTAAGATACTAATTTTACATTTGTTTTATTTCAAGACAATTCTTCAATTAGTTGATATTTCCATACCATTTTATACATTAGGTGTTATTTCGATACTATTTTTACATTTGTTGATATTTTAATACAATTAATTTTTTTTTTCATTCCTATTTTAACATTTGTTTTGATTTAGATGCTATTTTTTACCTTTGTTAATTTGATGTTATTTTTACTTTAGTTTTATTTTTAATACTCATTTTAAATTTGTTTTAATCGCTGCTGTTTTCATTCATTCATTCATTAGTTTTTACTACAATACTATTTTATTAGTTTTTTTTCAATACTGTCAGTACATTTGTTTAATTTTGATTCTATTTTTACATCATTACTATTATTAAACTAGTTTCTTTATATTCTATTTTTACATTTGCTCTTATTTCTATGCTATTTTAACATTTTTTTTATTTCAAAGCAATTTTTTTATTTATTATTTAGATACTTTAGAATTTTTTACCTTTTTTTGCCTTTGTTTAGATTTTGATAAAAAAAATTACATTTGTTTTCATTTCAATACTCTATTAATATGTTTTTATTTTGATACTATTTTTACATTTGTTATTTTTTATACTATTTTATACATTTGTTGTTTATTTTGATGCTATTTTAACATTTGCTTTATTTCAATGCTGTTTTTCCATTTATTATTTAGATACTATTTTTACCTTTGTTTAGATTTTGATACTATTTTTTTTACATTTGTTTTCATTTCAATACTCTTTTATTCTGTTTTTATTTAAATACTATTTCTACATTTGTTCTAATTTTGATGCTATTTATGCATTTGATTTTATTTTGATACTATTTTTACATTTGTTATTTTTTATACTATTTTATACATTTGTTGTTTATTTTGATACAATTTTAACATTTGTTGTTATTTCTATACTATTATTAAATTAATTTTTGATACTATTTTAAAATTTGTTTTATTTTAATACTATTTTTCATTGAACTTTTATTACAATAACATTTTTATTAGTTTTTATTTTGATACTATTTTTACATTTTTTGTTAAAAAAAGTATTTTTATTTGAGACAATTTTTCTATTTGTTTTTATTTTTATACTATTAAAAAAATCTATGTATGCCCATCTTGCCGTTAGCATCTAGCATTTTCTACGTTATAATCCAAAATGCACATAAAAATAGCAGGATGGAAACAGAGCTGCATTTCTTCAGCATTCTTTCAATGAAATATCCTTTTTTAAATCATCATCATCACTGTCACGTTACAAAATGCCTTTAGACCTCTGCCTCATGACTTTAGTTTATGTAATTATTGTATTTATCTTAAGCTGCCTTGCGATGTTCAGGTCTTGGCGGTTGGGTTGTTTTAGCACAAACAGAAAGAAGGAAACTCCAATGTTTGTGTTGTTGTACATAAATGTAATTTTTTCGTCAATAAAAAAAGATATACATTAAAAAAAATATGTATATGTATCTTCTTTAGTGTTTAGAACAGGATCAAGATAGCAAAACAAGTGTGATGTTACATTAATGTTTACAGTTGTTATTTTTGGCTGCACCGTCACTTTAAGCAACCATCTGCCTATTTGCACTTAGGTTTCACTTTAGCCTCTCTTTATCTAGAACACACACACACAGTACAGAGCTCCACCCACCCACCCACACACACACACACACACACAAACACACAAGGAAAGGCAAAAATCGAAACTAAAGTGTTTGTCTCGTCTCTTTAACGCTGAGCAAATGGCAGATGAGCAGAATCCACTCGTGAAATCCACTCTGAGTGAAAGCAGCTCTTCCCCAGATGTGGAAGAGTCTGTGGCCTCTATTGCAGACCTACAGGACCCGAGTGAAACCACCCATCCTCAATATCTTAATGTATCTGTGGCTTCTACTGCAGACCTACAGGACCCGAGTGAAACCACCCATCCTCAAGATCTTAATGTGTCTGAGGCTTCTACTGCAGACCTACAGGACCTGAGTGAAACCACCCATCCTCAATATCTTAATGTGTCTGTGGCTTCTACTGCAGACCTACAGGACCTGAGTGAAAGCAGCTGTCCTGCAGATCTGGAAGAGTCTGTGGCCTCTGTTGCAGACCTCCAGGACCCGAGTGAAACCACCCATCCTCACGATCTTAATGTGTCTGAGGCTTCTACTGCAGACCTACAGGACCTGAGTGAAAGCAGCTGTCCTCCAGATATGGATGAGTCTGCAGATCTACAGGACCCGAGTGAAAGCAGCTGTCCTGCAGATGCTGATGTGTCCTCTGTTTGGGAGCAGCTGGAGAGCACAGTGCTGGAGTCTGCAGATGTGGATGATGTTTACTGTGAAACTCACCTGAGGACACGCACTGAGCCGAGCGCTGCAAATGCACACTTACTAGTGCACTCCAGTGGACGCCTGCATAGGGCGACGTGGAGGGAGCATCAGAACCTGCTGGAGGTTTAAGGAGGACACGGCAGCACTGCGCAGGAGAGAACAGAGGAACAGGTGTGTAACAGAGACAGGTATAAGACTCTTTATAATTCAATGACATGATGTGCATTATTCCACTTATACTATGTCTACTGCGCATTATTGTCAGATAATTCAACAGTCTGTCATCAATCAGTGCACTCACACTAATATTGTGCATTATTTTATATTAACTCAACACTGTCATGATTTATTCTGCTTATGCTACTTATACTGTACATTATAATTTTCTAATAATTCAACAACACAGAGTGCATTAGTGTGCTTATTCTACTTATATTGTGCATTGTTTTATAATAATTCAGCACTCTGCCATCAATTATTCTGCTTATACCACTTATTCTTTACACTATTTTCTAATAATTCAACAGTCTGTCATGATGTATTCTGCATATATTTCCTATTTTGTGCATTATTTTCTATTAATTCAACAGTCTGTCATCAATTATTCCACTTATGCTACTTATATTTTGCATTATCTTATAATAATTCAACTGTCATCAATTACTAATTAATAACTCAACAACACAGAGTGCATTATTCTGCTTATACTTCTTATCTTGTGCATTATTTTCTATTGACTCAACATCTGTCATCGTTTATTCCACTTATACTACTTATGTTTTGCATTATCTTTTAATAATTCAACAGTCTGTCATCAATTAATCTGCTTAAACTACTTTAACTGCATTTTTTTTCTAGTAATCCAACATTGTCATCAATTGTTTTGCTTATTCTAATTATATTGGGCATTATTTATTAATAATCCAACAGTCTGTCATCAATTGTTTTGGCATGTACTACCTGTGCATTATTTTATAATGATTCAGTGACAGAGAGTGCATTATTCTGCTTATACTACTTATATTTTGCAATATCTTTTAATAATTCAACACTCTGTCATCAATTATTCTGCTTGTACTACTTATATTGTGCATTATTTTCTATTAACTCAACATCTGTCATGTTTTTTCCACTTATACTACTTATATTTTGCATTATCTTTAAATAATTCAACAGTCTGTCAACAAGTATTCTCCATATACTACTTAAACTGCATTAATTTCTAATAATCCAACTGTCATCAGTTACTCCACTTATACTGTGCATTATCATATAATAATTTAACAACACAGAGTGCATTATTCTGCTTATAATACTTATACTGTCTACTATTTTCTAATAATTCAACACTGTGTCATCAATTATTCTGCTTATACCACTTAGACTATGCTGCATTTTGTAATGTCAACACTGTCATCAATTATTCTGCTTATACTATTTATTCTTTAAATTATTTTATAATAATCCAACAGTCTGTCATGATTTATTCTGCATATATTTTGTGCATCATTTTCTATTAATTCAACAGTCTGTCATCAATTATTCCACTTATGCTACTTATATTTTGCATTATCTTATAATGATTCAACTGTCATCAATAACTCCACTTCTACTGTGCATTATTATATAATAATTCAACAACACAGATTGCATTATTCTGCTTATAATACTTATATTGCGCATTATTTTCTATTAATTCAACACTCTGTCATCAATTATTCTGCTTATACCACTTAAACTGTGCCTTATTTTGTAATATGTCAACAGGGTCATCAATTAGTGCATTTACACCACATCTAGTGTGCATTATTTACTAATAATCCAACACTGCCATCAGTTGTTTTTAGTTTATACCACTTATATTGTGCATTATTTTCTGATAATCCAACACTGTCATCAATTATTCTGCTTATACCACATATGTCAATATGACAACCAATATGTCATCAATTGTTTTGCTTATTCTACTTATGTTGGGCATTATTTACTGATAATTCAACAGTCTGTCATCAATTATTCTGCATGTTCTACCTGTGCATTATTTTCTAATGATTCAGTGACAGAGTGCATTATTCTGCTTATATTGTGCATTATTTTGTCAATTATTCTGATTGTACCACTCATACTGTGCATTATTTTCTAATGCTTCAACAGCTCTGTATATTAAAGAGACTGTTTATAGTACTATGCAGTAGAATAGTGCATATGTGTGTGATTTGGGACGCACCTAGAGTCTTGAGTGTTTGATGTTGTCCAATGATTCCCAGAGACGGCTGGAAAAGTCCAAGCAGATGATCAGGGAGAGAGAGACCGAGCTGAGGGAAATGCGGAAAGCTGCCGGAAACCTCAGGGTGAGTGGAGAAAGTAAATGTCAAATCAATTTGTTGGAACCTTTTGTCTGTAGTTTAAACATTTCTGGCAATAAAGCTCTTTCTGAATGATGACGGCTTTGTCCTCTCAAGAAACTAAGTGGGGGAGACAGCTGTATCAGATCCCAAAGTTTACATTCATACAATCATTAATCAGCTGTTTCTAAATCGTCCGTCTCTTGAAGGGAGGGCGATGTATCCCGTCCCCCCGGTTGCTACGCCCTGAGGTAAAGCTGCTGTATGTATGTTTTTAATTTAAAAAATAACATATTTAAGACATAACATACAAGTTTATCTGATTCATTGCCACAGCGGAATGAACCACCAACTTATCCAGCATGTTTTACGCAGCGAATGCCCTTCCAGCTGCAACCCATCAGTGGGAAACATCCTTACACTACAGACTATTTAGCTTACCTAATTCCCCTATAGCGCATGTGTTTGGACTGTGGAGCACCCGGAGGAAAACCACGCCAACATGGGGAGAACATGCAAACTCCACACTGAAACACCAACTAACCCAGCCGGGACTCGAACCAGCGACCTTCTTCCTATGAGGCGAACATGCTACCCACTGCACCACCGTGCTGCCCTGTTCATCTGATAAACAATGCTTAAGTCAGTTGGTTGCAGTACTGGGTTGCAGCTGGAAGGGCATCCGCTGTGTAAAACATATGCTGGAATAGTTGGCGGGTCATTCCGCTGTGGCGACCCCTGAAACAGAGACTAAGCCGAAGGAAAATGAATGAATGAATGTCTGTCTTTGAGCTAGTCACTGTAACTCCGCCCATTGTGAGTTTAACCAATTATATTTTAACACCCTGGGTTGCCAGATAGTGTGAAACAGTGTATGGAATTTCACTGATGAATGCTCTAAATCAGGGGTGTCCAAACTCGGTTCTAAAGGGCCGGTGTCCTGCATATTTTAGTTCCAACCACAATTAAACACACATGAACCAGCTAATCAAGCTATTTCTAGGTATACTAGACTTGTGTTGGAGGAAGTTGGAGATAAACTATGCAGGACACCGGCACTCCAGGACCGATTTTGGACACCCCTGCTCTAAATGTATTTAGCTGAAAATGCACCTCTGGAGGACAGAAGCAGATGCAGAAATTAGACACAGAGTCAGAGTTATAAAACATACATGAGAGCGAGTTCAAACATTAGCTGAGCACCGTACCATGTAAAGCTGCAGTCACACTGCACTTTTAGCCTCCATAGATTGCTGTTCATATGCAAGCGAATGCGTCAGACCGGAAACACAAGCTCATGCGAGAAGTTTCACAGTTCGCAAAATTCAAGCTTGGTGAACTCTGACCTGTAAAATTGCATCACTTGACAGCGTGAGACCAATCCAAGATCAAAACATGACCTCTCTGGACAGAAATATAAAGTATGGACCAATCGCTCGCTTTATGTCTAATGTTTTGTTTAATTCCGCCCCTTTTGCAGCACTGTATGATAAAATTTTGCATACTCAAACTCTGGTGAGACCACGGCATAAAGCTGGATCTTCAGGCATGCTCTGCTCCTGTTTGTATCATCAATCTGGCAACCAGGTGAAAAAACTCCTCTCCAATATTTTAAATTTGAACTGCAATACAGAGTTCAATCTTACATACTGCACCTTTAACTTGATTTTCTTGGTTATTGCGAACAAGACATATGCAGATATTCAATAATACAGTATATCAAATATACATAAATCACTTCAAATTATGGTAAAAGGTTGCTTTTATATTTGTTTTTGTCTCTGTGAGTTGTAATGGACTAAATATTTTCAGTTTATTCCCAAACTGGGCAGAATCGTGACAATTCGGAAACTGTCATTCGATTGCTTCCCACTGGTTTAAATGTAAATCTGGCTGCATTTCCCCACACAGAACCTGACTAAAGCCACAGAGGAAGAAGGCGACAGGATCTTCACCCAAATGCTCAGCTTTATACGGAGAAGCCACACAGAGATGATGAATCTGCTGCAAACTCAGATGAGCGTGGAGATGGACAGAATTCAGGAACATCTGGAACATCTGGACCAGGAGATCCAAAAGCTCAGGAGAAAACACTCTGAACTGGAGCAGCTTTCACAAACTGAAGATCACTTACACTTACTACAGGTGACAACAGGACCAGAGCCTCCAGATATTACACGTCTGTCTGGAATACTGGATTCTGATTGGTCAGTCATTACATCATCAGGTGTGTTATACCCAGATAAGAACCGCAGAATAACATAGGGTCTTCTGGGAACTGAGACACACACATTCATATGGGTCTGCAGCTGGTGTTTCTGACTGTTTGTCTCCATCTAGTGTCTGAATAATGTGCAGGTTAGTGTATACTCCATCAGCTGTTTCTGACTGTCTCCATCTAGTGTCTGAATAATGCGCAGGTTAGTGTATACTCCATCAGCTGTTTTAGTTTTTGTCAGCTTTGCATTTAATTAAAGCTTTATTAAAACTATTACTCTAAAATGTTTATGTTTTGTGGCCAGTCGCTGCATAATAAGCAAGATAAAGTTCATCCAGGATGTTTTTACATCCAGTAATTCTGGTAAAACCTGGGGAGAATATCCCATTCATAACATGGCTACTTCCATTAAAATAAAGAAAATAGACACTATCCATTGTTCTGAGCTGTAATAGATTATTGATTCTTTAATTTAATGTCAACGCTGACAGAAACTAAAACAGCTGATGGAGTATACACTAACCTGCACATTATTCAGACACTAGATGGAGACAAACAGTCAGAAACAGCTGATGGAGTATACACTAACCTGCACATTATTCAGACACTAGATGGAGACAAACAGTCAGAAACAGCTGATGGAGTATACACTAACCTGCACATTATTCAGACACTAGATGGAGACAAACAGTCAGAAACAGCTGATGGAGTATACACTAACCTGCACATTATTCAGACACTAGATGGAGACAGTCAGAAACAGCTGATGGAGTATACACTAACCTGCACATTATTCAGACACTAGATGGAGACAGTCAGAAACAGCTGATGGAGTATACACTAACCTGCACATTATTCAGACACTAGATGGAGACAGTCAGAAACAGCTGATGGAGTATACACTAACCTGCGCATTATTCAGACACTAGATGGAGACAGTCTAAAACAGCTGATGGAGTATACACTAACCTGCACATTATTCAGACACTAGATGGAGACAGTCTAAAACAGCTGATGGAGTATACACTAACCTGCACATTATTCAGACACTAGATGGAGACAGTCAGAAACAGCTGATGGAGTATACACTAACCTGCACATTATTCAGACAATAGATGGAGACAAACAGTCAGAAACAGCTGATGGAGTATACACTAACCTGCACATTATTCAGACACTAGATGGAGACAGTCAGAAACAGCTGATGGAGTATACACTAACCTGCACATTATTCAGACACTAGATGGAGACAGTCAGAAACAGCTGATGGAGTATACACTAACCTGCGCATTATTCAGACACTAGATGGAGACAGTCAGAAACAGCTGATGGAGTATACACTAACCTGCACATTATTCAGACACTAGATGGAGACAGTCAGAAACAGCTGATGGAGTATACACTAACCTGCACATTATTCAGACACTAGATGGAGACAGTCAGAAACAGCTGATGGAGTATACACTAACCTGCACATTATTCAGACACTAGATGGAGACAGTCAGAAACAGCTGATGGAGTATACACTAACCTGCACATTATTCAGACACTAGATGGAGACAGTCAGAAACAGCTGATGGAGTATACACTAACCTGCGCATTATTCAGACACTAGATGGAGACAGTCAGAAACAGCTGATGGAGTATACACTAACCTGCACATTATTCAGACACTAGATGGAGACAGTCAGAAACAGCTGATGGAGTATACACTAACCTGCACATTATTCAGACACTAGATGGAGACAGTCAGAAACAGCTGATGGAGTATACACTAACCTGCACATTATTCAGACACTAGATGGAGACAGTCAGAAACAGCTGATGGAGTATACACTAACCTGCGCATTATTCAGACACTAGATGGAGACAGTCAGAAACAGCTGATGGAGTATACACTAACCTGCACATTATTCAGACACTAGATGGAGACAGTCAGAAACAGCTGATGGAGTATACACTAACCTCCAGCATAAAAAGACAAGCATGTAAATATGGATGTGAATGTATTCACTGACAGTCAAAATCATGTGAAGTACCCGGATTAGTCTGTATTATTCAGCGGTTGTTATCTGGGAATATCATACTTTTGAATGCCATGACTAACCAATCAGAATCAAGTGTTCCAGAGAGCCATGTAATCATTAAAATTAACCAATGGAATCCCCTTTCAGCTGGTGAAGACTGGGGCTGCTTGTTTGATCTGTGCAAAAAGATGCTCTGGATAAAAGAGGCTCTCGAATGGCTAATGTTCATCTGTTGCAGTAACATTTAATTTTCTTCTGTCCTGTTTCTCAGAGCACAGACGTGCCCAGCCTGACCACTAACTCACAGTTCTCTTTTGGGGAAATGATCAAGTCCCTCTCCTCATTAACTGCACAAATACAGGACGTCTGGAGACGGGAAATCAGCAGCATTTCCTCAGCAGGTAAAAAAAATAATGAGCAAAATCTAAAGTCGATGCCTGACGAAAAACTATTTTAGGCAGGAGTACGAGAGTGTTTCGTTACACTGATTTACTACTCGAACTATAAACCATTGATGTCAGATATCCCGCCAGTGGTAAAGCAGTATTTTATGCACAATACTCTGCAAAAACTGATGATTATAAACCCCTCAATGATGGAAGATGTACAGCAGCCATTGAGGGAACAACTGGCGCAGTTCAGCATTTAATAATGTACGGCAGGAAAGAGTAAGTCATAATTGAGGCACAACAACTACACTCTTAACATGATACATTACAATACGATGTCCATACTCTTAGCCAAGTGATACGATATTTGTTGATTTGTCAAAAAATTCTGCATAACACTAAAGGGGGTCGCCCGCCAGAAGTGCAGCTCAGTGATGTGCAACATCGCACAACACCCAGCGCCATGCATTTTAAAGTTCTAAACATAGGTTTCTATCAGGGTATACACACCGGCGACACAAGTCAGCCATGACTCAGGACACTGTTAATATTTCTGCCGCGCCACAGAGCGCCATCTGAATAGTTTTATTTTAAATAACATGCAAATGTGCGTGTCTGGTGTGCGATACTTTCAACTGTCATGTGCGCACTGTGTCGCGGCTCTGAGCGGCGCATCCGGTGTGTGACGCCCTTAAAGGTGTAAATACAATACAATACAATACAATACAATACAAAACAATACGATATCTTGATACTCTTAGCCAAACAATACAATATTTGTTGATAATATTGTACACTACAGTACAATATAATATAAAATATGATACAATACAATATGTTGATACTCTTTGCCAAGCAATACGATATTTATCGATACTTCAATAAATTCTATAAAACACTACAGGTGTAACTTGGACATCTCATCACAATACGATACAATACAATACTTTGATACTCTTTGCCAAGCGATAAGATGTTTGTCGATACTTCAGTAAAGTCTGCAAAACACTAAGTATGTGAATTGGACGTCTTGCAACAATACACAATGCAATATGTCAATACTCTTAGCCAACAATATGATATTTGTTGATACTTTAATAAATTCAGCAAAACATTAAGGGTCTAAATTTAGACGTCTCATCTCAATACGATTCGATACAATATGATAAATTACAATACGATATGTGATACTCTTAGACAAGCAATATATTTATCGATACCTCAATAAAGTCTGCAAAACCCTTGGGGTGTACATTGGACATTTCATCACAATACGATACAATATAATACGATATGATATGTCGATACTCTTTGCCAAGCGATTCAATATTTGTTGAAACTCTGCATAACACTTGGAGTGTAAATTAGACATCTCATCACAATACAATATGATGTCAATAGACTTAGCCAATGATCTGATAATTGTTGATATCTCAACAAAGTCTGCAAAACATTTGTGGTGTAAATTGTACATCTCATCACAATACGATACAATATAATACGATACAATATAATACGATACAATATGTCGATATTCTTTGCCAACCAATACAATATTTGTCGATACTTCAATAAACTCTGCATAACACTTGGTGTGTAAATTGGACATCTCATCACAAAACAATATGATATGTCAATAGACTTAGCCAACGATACGATAATTGTCGATACTTTAATAAAGTCTGCAAAACACTTGGGGTATAAATTGGACATCTCATTAAAATACGATACCATACGATAGTCTATATGTCAATACACTTGGTTAGTGATACAATATTTGTCGATACTTCAGTAAACTCTGCATAACACTAGGGGTGTAAATTGGACATCTCATCACAATACGATATACAATATACGATACAATATACAATATACGATACAATATGATAAGTCAATACTCTTAGCCAACGTTACAATATTTGTTGATACTTCAATAAATTCAGCAAAACATTAAGGGTCTAAATTTGGGCGTCTTATCACAATACGATACAATACAATACGATATTTCAATACACTTAGCCAGCGATACAATATTTAGCGATACTTCAGTAAGTTCTGCAAAACACTTGGGGCAGTAAATTGGACATCTCATCACAATACGCTGCAATACAATATGTCGATACTCTTTGCCAAGCGATACGATATTTGTTGATACTTTAATAAACTCTGCATAACACTAGGGGTGTAAATTAGTCATCTCATCACAATACAATATGATGTCAATAGACTTAGCCAACGATACGATATTTGTCGATACTTCAATAAGTTTTGCAAAACACTACAGGTGTAAATTGGACATCTCATCACAATGCGATACAATATGATACAATACGATATGTCGATACTCTTTGTAAAGCAATTCAGTATTTGTTGATGGTTGAATAAACTGCATAACACTAGGGTTATAAATTGGACATGTCATCACAATACGATACAATACGAAACAATATATGTCGATACACTTAGCCAGCGATACAATATTTGTCGATATTTTCACAAATTCTGCAAAACACTACGGGGGGTGTAAATTGGATGTCACAATACGATGCGATATGATACGTTACAATACAATACGTCGATACTTCTAGCCAGCAATATGTTATTTGTCGATAATTCAATAAAGAAATAACGATTCTCTCACCTCATGTTTCTGTAGTGACCGCAGAGAAGATCTTACTGCCTCTCGAACCCAAGACGAGGGAGGAGTTTCTACAGTGTGAGTCCTCTAGACGGTTCTGTTCAAGTTTTAATAAAACCAAAAACTAAAAATTGCAAAAGGACAAAAGGAAAGGTTAAAGGCGGTCATAGTACTTTGTTCTGTTGATGTGTGATCAAATATTGGCAGCTTGAATTAGATGGAAATTGGAGCAGATTGTGCTGCATTTCTATGGAGATCTCAGCGTAGCCGCCATTACGGCTCTTTGTTTTTAGGTCTCTGCACAGCTCACAAGACTGAAAACTATCAATAGCTCAAACAAAACACTGTTTCTTGTCTTCCATCAGTTCTGGTTCCTTTAAGTCTAGACCCAAACACGGCCCACAGGAGCCTTCGTTTATGGGATGCGAACCGTGCGGTGGCCTGCAGCCCAGACCTCCAGCCGTACCCTGAACACCCGCATCGCTTCCAGTGGTGGGCCCAGGTTTTGGGTCGAGAGTGTCTAATTGGCCGCTGCTACTGGGAGGCGGATTGGAGCGGTCGGTACGGCGTGGACATCGCAGTGACCTACGCAGACATTAGCCGAACTGGAGAACAGGACGACGCTGGGTTTGGGTACAACACACACTCCTGGAGTCTGGACTGCTCTGAAAGGTTATTATAGTGTAAACATCCAGTGAATAGTTAATCTGACTATTTTAATTGCATATAGTTCCTTATCCATGTTGTAATGTAATTAAAATATAATCTGTAATATAAACTAAATAAAAATGTTCACAAAATAAAAACTATACTAAGAAAACCATTGATGAAATGAGCAAAATACGGAAATTTACAGCAAATGTAAAACATTATTTCTAAATCTATTTATTTCTAAATTATTTATTTCTAATTATTTCTAAATAAACTAATTTAAAATAGCATCCAAAAACAAATAAACAAAACTAATTAAAAAATAATATCAAAATATAATCAATTTAAAAATAGTATCAAAATAAAACATTGAAAAATAGCAATAAAATAGAAATTAATTAAAAAATAATAGAAATCAAACTAAAATTTTATTAGTACCAAACTAAAAAGTAATTGAAAAATAGTATTTAAATAAACTAATTTTAATATGGTATCGAAACAAAAACAATTGTAAAAATAATTTTGAAATAAAAACAAATGTAAAAATAGCATACAAAACAAATGTAAAAACAATACCGAAATAATCTAATTTAAGAGAATTGTATTAAAATTAAACAAATTAAAAAATAGTATCAAAATTAAAACAAAGATAAAAATAATATTTTAATAAAAACAAATTAAAAAAAAAGAGTATAGATATAAACACAAATGTTAAAATAGTATCAAATACAAAAGTATAGAATCGACAAAGGTAAAAATAGTAAATAGCATCAAAATAAAAACAAATGTAGAAATAGTATCGAAATAATAACAAATGTTAAAAAATATATTATCAAAATTAAAAACGCAAAAATAGCATTGAAATAAAATTGAACTAATCGGAACAGTATCAAATAAAAAGTTATAGAAATTAACTAATTTTTAAAATAGCATCAAAATAAAATACAAATGTAAATATAGGATCAGAATAAAAGCAATGTAAGAATAGTATTGAAATATAAACATAAACAATAATAGTATTTAAATAAAAACAAATTTAAAGAGTATAGAAATAAAAATAAATGTATAAAACAGTATCAAAAAACAACTAATGTAAAAACAGTATCATAATAACTAACTAAAGAATTGTATCAAAATGAAACAATTGTAAAACAAAAGTAACAATAGCATTTAAATAAAAATTAATTTGAAGAGTATAGAAATAAAAACAAATGAAAAAATAGTATCAAATATAAAAGTATCGAATTGACAAAAATAAAAATAGTAAATAGCATCAAAATAAATAAAACTAATGTAACAATAGTATCGAAATAAGAATAAATGTTTAAAAAAATATTAAATTTAAAAATGCAAAATTAGCATTGAAATAAATTAACTAAACTTATCGAAACATCAAATAAAACATTATCCAAATGAACAAATTTTTAAAATATCATCAAAATAAAAACAAATGTAAAAACAGCATCGGAATAAAAGCAGTAAAAAAATTGTATCGCAATTTAAACACAAGTAAAAATAATAATTTAAAAAGAGTATAGGAATAAAAACAAATGTAAAAAATAGTAATCAAAAAAACAACAAATTACTAAAAAAAACGGTATCGAAATAATTAATTGAAGAATTGTATCAAAATAAACTAATGTATCGAAATAAAAGCAAAATGTAACAATAGAATAGAAGTCATTTAATAGAAGTCTTTAATAGAAGTCATTTAAAAATAGTACCAAATAAAACGTATCAAAATAACAAAGGTAAAAATTGAATAAAATTAAAATAGCAAAAAAATTGCATTAAGCGAAAATGAAACAAAAATGAAATGAAATATACTACTTTTAAAAATAGCATCGAAATGAAAAAAAATAATTTAAATAGTGTTGAAATAAAAACACGTAAAATAGTATCTAACTCTTTTTAATTAAAGAGTATTGAAGTAAACACAAATGTAAAAATCGTCCTGAAATATTAAATGTAAAAATTTTAAATGCTAATCTGTAGTAACCTTGCTGTATACTCCACATCCAGATATGCAGTGGTGCACAATAACGTGGAGACGGAGGTCAGTGTTCCGGCTTCCCGAAGGATCGGGGTTTATCTGGACACCCGTGCGGGTTTTCTGTGTTTCTACAGCGTCTCAGACTGCATGATCCTCCTGCACAGACTCCACACACGCTTTACTCGGCCTCTGCATCCAGGGTTTGGTCTCTTTCAGGGATCCACTGCCAGATTTTGTGCACCAGAAATGGACAAACCCAAGAATAAAAAAGCATGTGCAAATCACAGACAGAGAACCGTGAAGATAACAAGTCGTCACAAAAAATAATCAGCATAGATTTTAAAATACACAAGAAATATGGAGCTTACAGTAACCTGAATCTGTTAATAACGCTAATGAATGCTGAAATGTGTGAATGTGATAGTGAACAGTTGATTATGTTACTAATTCTGCTTTAACTTATTGTTAAACTTTTCATAACAGAGTTGACATTTTATACTGCGGATGCTTATCCAGATGCTGATCTCAAGTTCTCTCATGTTTAAAACACAATGTTATGCATTTTCATCATACTATTGTTTTTAAAAAGTGAATGAGAAATTCACTGAAATGGCCTTATTAAAAATAATCGAGATGACGGTAACAGAATTGACAGAAACCAATTTAAAAATAACAAAGACGACAGTAACAAAGTTTACGAAACGGAGTTGAAAATAACGAATATGAAAGTAACAGAGCTGACAGTAATGGAGTTGAAAATAATGGAGACGTCAGTAATGGAGATGACGGAAACGGTGTTGAAAATAACGAAGGTGACAGAGATGTCAGTAACATTGTGGAAAAATAACAGGGATGACATTAATGAAGATGACACGGAGATGACAGTAACAGAGTTGAAAAATAATGGAGATGACATTAATGGAGATGACAATAACAGAAATGACAGAAACGGAGATGACGGTAACAAAAATGACACGAAGATGACTAACAGAGTTGAAAAATAATGGGGATTTCATTATTGGGGATGACGTTAACGAAGATGACAGTAATGGAGATGACAGGAATCGAGTTAAATAATAACGGGGATGACATTAATGGAGATGACGTTGACGGAAATGACGGTAAATGAGTTAAAAATAACAAAGATGACACAAAGATGACAGAAACAGAGTTGAAAAATAACAGAGATGACATTAATGAAGTTGATGTTAACGGAAATGACAGTAATGGAGATGACATTGACGGAGAGGACAGTAACGGAGTTGAAAATAACGAAGATGACACGGAGATGACTAACAGAGTTGAAAAATAACGAGGATGACAGAGAGATGTCAGAAACATTGTTGAAAAATAACAGATATGACAGTAACGGAGATGACGGTAACAGAGTTGAAAAATAATGGAGATGACAGTAATGGAGATGACGTTGACGGAGATAACAGTATTGGAGATGACAGTATTGGATTCAAAGTTGAAAATAACAAAGATGACACGAAGATGACAGTAACAGAGTTGAAAACTAACGGCCATGACAGTAATGGAGATGACAGTAACAGAAATTATGGTATATATAACACCCTGAGCGTGGCACTTTAGGAAACCTGTTATCGATTACGTACTGCACTTGTGTTACACATTTCTTTTATTTTTCACTAAAGATGTTTAATGTTCATACTCTGCATGACAATGTTGTTTTGAATAGTCAGATTGCTGATGTTAAATTGCTGACTGCAACCAATTTATAACCATAGTTTTTATTAAAGGGCAGATCACACTGAATGTTCACAGAATATTAGACTAGATATTCTTCAAGACACCAGTATTCAGCTTAAAGTGACATTCTAAAGCTTCACTAATTTAATTAAGTTAATAAGTCTCTGGACAACAGTGGATTATTCTGTGGACAATAATAAAAGCATTTCTGAAGCGGGTAAAGCACAGCAGCTTTTAAGTTGTTTAACTACTAATAAATAATTAGTTTAAACATAATAAATGACTTTAAACACCAGTTTTATGACGGTCTCATTAATAAACAAAACACTTTCACATGAACATGGAATTAACTGTACCAGTAACACTTCATTGATTATTTGTGAAGCGCGGTCAATAAAGACGTCATCAGACATGTGTACTGTGTTATCTCAAGATGCTTTTAATGGTCACCTCCTGAACCCAAAAGAAAACAGGTCATGCAGCATCTAAAACCATGAAGGATGAGTGTATTAATAAACCCAGGACTTTTACAGCTCACAAACCCACTCGCACCGCTGATGAGAGCAGGTTGCCAGGTGTTTAGATATCACACAGAGAGCATCTGGCATCCGCATCAGTTAAAGCTCTGAACGAACACGATTACAGCCGTTCTCCAGGAGAGCTGCAGTACTGACACACTCAAGCGGATTCGATTACCTAGAGAGATTTCCTATTCGCAAACTCTCACCTCCAGAACAGACCAATCACAGCGGGGGAGTTTAAAGAGACAGTTCACCCAAACGAATGAACATTTACTCACTCTCGATGGGTTCCAAACATTTATGAGTTTCATTTTATATTGCTGAACTCGAGATGTTTCCAGGACATTGACTACCATAGTGGGAAAACAAATACTGTGGTAGTCAATAGACACTGGCTTTCAACATTCTTCAAAATATCTCTTCTGTTTAACAAAAAAATAAAACCTCAAACCGGTTAGGAAGTGTTCACAAGTGAGAAAATACCAAGATAAAATCTTTAATTTAGGGGTGACCCGTCGCTTTAATAAACCCAGAATGGAGCTTGAGATGAAGATAGAGGCATCATATGAGCTCAATATGCCTGTGTGAAATACTCAATACTAATACTGTCAAAACACTCAATCGAGATTAACCACATCTAAAAATAAAACTTTGCATTTATATAATATACATGTGTGTGTGTACTGTGCGTATTTATTATGAGTGTGCGCATGCAAACAGGCATGGTATATGTGTGATTATATATAGTATAAATTATATGCAAATATTATACAACTAAAGGAATTAATAATCGTAAAAGGTTTTCATTTTATACAAGTAATTATATCCATATTCATATTAATTATATTTGTATTTCTCTATGAATAATAAATATGCAGAGTACACAGATGTATCATATAAACACCAGCTGCTGTTTAAGATGTGATTAATCCTTTGACAGCACTAAAACAAATCAACAACAAAAACAAGAAGAAAAGTTGAAGCGACATTTTGAAGTTCTCAATCTGTCCAATCAGAGCGATCATTCACCCCATGTGACGTTATTCCACTTATTTACAAATTTACATTTAGTTCCTTCACAATACCTCAGAAACGGCCAATCTGACTTTAATGAAGCGTTTTGTACTTTGGGGGAAGCAGAACGAGTCCTGAATAAAGTGCATGTGGATGAGAGAGAGAGAGAGAGAGAGGGAGGGAGAGGGAGAGAGAGAGAGAGAGAGAGAAAGAGAGAGAGAGAGAGAGAGGTATATATACAGACAGGAGCATCACTCTCCAGAGCGACAGCACACCCTGAAGCCGCACTGCAGATTCTGGCACCCGCTGGCTGTGTCTGCATGAGGACCTGCGGGAACACAAGTATGACTGATTTCATTTCAGAATGATTTCACCCTTCGGGTAGCAATTAGACCATTAGTCTAATAGCCACTCCCTAAAGACTGAAAGCTCCACCCTAAAAGACTGAAAACTCTACCCTAAAGGACTAATCACTCCGCCCTAAAGGACTGATAGTTCTGCCCTAAAGGACTAATAGCCCCGCCCTAAAAGACTGATAGCCCCGCCCTAAATGACTAATAGCCCCGCCTTAAAGACTGATAGCTCCACCCTAAAGGACTAATCACCCTTCCCTAAAAGACTAATAGCCCTGCCCTAATGGACTAAAATCTCCACCCTAATGAACTGACAGTCCCACCCTATATGACTGATAGCCTCACCCTAACAAACTAATAGCCCTGCCCAAAAAGAATGATAAACCCGCCCTAAAGGCTGATAGTCCCGCCCTAAAGGACTGATTTCCCTGCCCTAGAGAACTGATATCCCTGCCCTAAAGGACTGATAGCCCCGCCCTAAAAGACTGATATCCCTGCCCTAAAGGACTGATAGCCCCGCCCTAAAAGACTGATAGCCCTGCCCTAAAGGACTGATAGCCCCGCCCTAAAAGACTGATAGCCCTGCCCTAAAGGACTGATATCCCTGCACTAAATGACTAATAGCCTCACCCTAACAAACTAATAGCCCTGCCCAAAAAGAATGATAAACCCGCCCTAAAGGCTGATAGTCCCGCCCTAAAGGACTGATTTCCCTGCCCTAGAGAAATGATATCCCTGCCCTAAAGGCTGATAGTCCCGCCCTAAAGGACTGATATCCCTGCCCTAAAGGACTGATAGCCCCGCCCTAAAAGACTGATATCCCTGCCCTAAATGACTCATAGCCCCACCCTAAAGGACTTATAGCCCCGCCCTAAAAGACTGATATCCCTGCCCTAAAGGACTGATAGCCCCGCCCTAAAAGACTGATAGCCCTGCCCTAAAGGCTGATAGTCCCGCCCTAAAGGACTGATATCGCTGCCCTAAATGACTGATAGCCCCACCCTAATGGACTGATAGCCCCGCCCTAAAGGACTGATAGCTCCACCCTAAATTACTGATATCCCTGCCCCAAAATGTCTGATATCTCCACTCTAAATAAGTTATAGATGTTCTAGTCCAGTGATTGCCTGAGTAGAATAGTCAGTGCCATGATTCTTAATCAGTCCAATCCTATTGTGTGTAGAAAACTCACACCAGACAAACAAACAATACCTAAATGCACGACTGAATGTTACGTTTTCACACACAATGCATGTGTGAGAAGGTTTCAGGAGGGTTATTACAACCTAACAGACTCTGCCTCAATATTTCTGTCTGTTGTCATAGCGATGTCAAAACTGACCGCTGGAGGGGTGTGGTTATGTATGTTAGCCACACCCAATACCTCAGACAGACCTAATCTGAGAATTGAACTGAAAACCAACAGGAGGTGCATTCTCAGATTTCAGTTAAAGATTACAAGGGCAAGCTATTATTTCTGTTCTTAATGACCAGAGGTCTGTTCTTCATAGCTTGCTTAAATTATCTAAGATGATTTGGCAGATCCTGGATCTGTTAATCTTGATAACTGATCTCTGGCTAATTTGGTTCTTCAAACAAGTTCTTAAATCAGATTAAAATGTCTGGATGAACTGATCTGAGATCTGCGTGTGTTGTGAAGGACAGATCTGTTGATTCCCAAAATCATGATCAGCAATGCAACGATTGGCTGATGACACAGCTAATGACATGAATGACATCATCTGATTAATATTCAATTATCCATGTGAGCAAAATTACATCAAATTAGCAGAAAACAGCTTGTTAAATATGACATGCAATAACTCTCCACGTGTGTTGTGAGCTGCAGGCTTTACACTATTATGTGTCAAGAGTATTCATCATGTATTTCAATGCAAATCAATGCATTTAGTTCTACATTTAGAGAAGATTTTCTTTATTATAGTAGCCTAGGCCTACTCAGGTTTTTTTAAATAGGCGTAAGGAATAACTGTAGAAATTAATTTTGCATCAAAAAAGCATTTTATATCGGTAAAGGTGTCTGCAACTTTTGCGAAGCATCGAATCACTGGTATATTAGCGGTAAAAACATGTGCATGACTGCATGAATTATTATCCTTTTAAAAAAAGTTGAATATTGTGCATGAACGCGTTTGTATCTAAAAAGTTCATACCGATAAATTTTCTCTACTTCAGAATTTGAACCAGCAGGTGGCAGTCTTTTACTTTTTTTCAGAGTGCAGATTGCATAAGTTTCATTAATATTTATATTTTAACTTTATATATATATATATATATATATATATATACATACTAGTAAAAATAAATTTCCAAGTGTATGTAACTACTGCAGGAAATTATCAGCATTTGGTACATACTCTCAGTACTATCTTTGCTTGAACTGACACAATCTAATCCTGTTTACATGAATGAGCTGCTGCTCACGACCAGGTTTGAGCTACCAGAACTGTTGCTATGACAACAACTCTTAGATGAGTTTTGGATAACTAAACGATCCTGGATCATGTCATATCGTCAATATCCAAATCCAGCTAACGGAGTAATTCACGTATGAAGAACAGACCCCTGGTCAGATGAATTGTTCATGTGTACTTTAACAGTGAGTGTGTGTGTGTTACCGTTAATGTTGTCGCAGTAGTAGAAGTGTTCGATGTTTAGGGCGGGGCTAGCAGACACCACCTCCTGAAGCCCCGCCCCCGTGATCAGCGGACAGCCGGACAGATTGAGGTGCTCCAGGAGAGGGAGACCGCCGCGCAGACACACACACCTGAAACACACACACACACCTCAACATAACAAGAGCAGGAAAATGTATATCTAACTCATCGATGGTCATCCTTACTACAACAAACTACAGGCTAAAAAAACAAACTATATATATATATATATTTATTTATTTTTTTTTTTATCTTATTAAGCATTAACTGTTTATTGTCAAATATTGTTTTTGTTCACTAAAATATTTTTCTAATTCATTAACTAATATGAAAATTCCTGTTGACTAAATAAAAATAAATGATAGTTTTTACATTCAGCTCAACTTTTTTATATTACAGCCAACCTAAAAGATATAAGACACTATTTTTTAAGAAAATTGTTATGATTTATTATAATAATAATAATTATTATTATTATTATTATTGGAAATAAAAAATATTAATATACCTTTAAGTACATATATATTAAATTATACATAGTATAATAATAATAATAATAATGCAGAAATATAGTAAATAAGCAAATATATTACTATTAATACTATTAGCTGAATATTTCTTATATATTATATTATTATATATTATTTTAATAAAATATCTATAATATTATATAGTAAAACAAATGTTACATAAAATTATTTCGAAATTAAGCCTTATGCATTAAAAAATAAATCAATTCCTCATAAAAAACTACATTCCCATAACAAAACAATGTTACAACAATTGAAATTAAATGTGCAAAACTCAATATTTTTTGCTAAATTAAGCCATAGACATGTTTAAAAAACACGAAGAATACATTAAAGTAATTATTACATACAAACTCAAACTATTTAAAATATTTTACAATTCAACAGTACCTCAATGATCCTAAAAAAACCTTTAATTATTTACATTTAATTACTAAACATAATCAAAATCTTTTCCAGAGATGGGTTGCGGCTGGAAGGGCATCCGCTGCGTAAAAACGTGCTGGATAAGTTGGCGGTTCATTCCGCTGTGGAGACCTCGAATTAATAAAGGGACTAAGCCGAAAAAATGAATGAATGAATAATGAACCAAAATCAACAAGTGAAGAGAATCAGTTCTGGAAAAAATCCTTAACATTTAATTTCTTAACATTTATCTGAAGTATTCAAAAAAAGTATTGAAAAATATGGAGTAGGTACTATTTTTGAATTTACTACCCGACTGATACGCTGCATTACGGGATGGCAGAATTCATTGTATGCTTACTTCAGAATAGAGGTCTGCATTCCCGTGGCCGTACCAGTGGGAGCCGCGGTACCCGACCAGATTTCGAGCGGCGCGGGAATACATTTCTGAATAAAGTGCGGGAGCGGTCAGTAACTGGTTTAATTTTAGACGGGAGCGGGCGACTCCCGAGCGAGCCAGCACGCGCATGCATGTGTGTGAATGAGACAGCGTGATGCTTGTTTGTTGCTGTCTATGTGTGTGTGCGAATGAGAGAGGGAGCTTTGTGCTGTGTGTGTGTGTGTGTGTGTGTGTGTGTGTATATGTGTGTGTGTGTGTGTGTGTGTGTGTGTGAATGAAAGAAGAAGCGTGACGCTGTCTGTGTGTGTGTCACTTGCTCGGTGCTTATGTGTGTGCATGTTTTTATAAACAGCTTGTTATTGGCTGTCTGGACTCTGTATAGCAGGGTGGTTTTCGATTTTGTTCTCCCCCCGTCTGCAGGAACGGGCGCGGCGGGTAGAAAACGGGGCGGGTTGGGAAGCGGCACAACAAATGCTAAATATTAGCGTGAAATATAAGGGTTCGGGCTAAAACCTGGCGGGAGCGGGATTCAAAATTTAGTCCCGCGCAGATCTCTACTTCAGAATCTCGCCGGAAGCAGTCGGTCATCCTGGTACGTCTCGCACTTTGTTTTTACAATACGATGAGTACTGACACACTATTTTGCTTGCATACTGTTTTGGCGTACTATATAGTATGGAAGTATGTGATGTCGGATGCAGACTACATGTCTATTTGTGCATACCTTAAGCCGAGGTCTGTGATCTGATGGCATCCGGATAGGCTGAGGAACCGAAGCGCCCGCTGAGCTCCTGATTGGTCAGTTCTGTTGTGATGCTCCGCGCAGGATTGGCCCTCAAACCAACATTTAGTCCGTAACTCAGCACTGCCCCCTGTGGCCTGGAGGTCTGATTGAGTCCGAAGCGCTGCTGCATCCGAGCTGCAGCAGGAGGAGTGGCCGCAGAGGGCGTCGCCATACTGCCAGGGGGAGGAGCTTAGTCCAGTCCTAAAGCCTCGCCTCTGGCTCCTCCTACAGCAGCACGAGGCACTCAGTGCTTCTGAAATACCACCACAGCCAATCTCCTGTGAGGCCACGCCTCCTCGTCTGCTCCAATCAGCAGCATCCTCGATGTCGGCTAATTTGACTGGATCGAGCACCCAGATGTGGGTGGGACCACAGCCTGAGCCACGCCCCCCAGGCCTGCGCTTGAAGATGAGATCCTGACAGCTGCGCCCCATTGGCTGGAGGCGGGGCTCCTCTATTCTGATTGGAGAAGGCGGAGCTTGCAGGAGTTTGTGGGCTGGGCTGGGTGTTGACGAATCTCCCAAACCCACAGAGAGGATCTTCAGGGTTCGATCCGTGATTTTATCACAGCCGGACAGATCCAGATGCTGCAGAGTCCCACACGCACCCAACGCACACCAGCTGGAGGAGGAAAAACAAACAGCGGTGGGTGGATGCAGTAACTAGTTACAAATACATAATATAATAACAATAATATTATTTTTAATAATAGTATGTAAATATAGTAAGAATAAATATTTAATAATAATTAATATAATAACAATAATAGTTTGTAAATATAATAATAATAATAATAACAACAATAACAATAATAGTATGTAAATATAATAATAATAATAAATATATAATAAAAAAAATAATAATCCATAATATAATACCAAACAATAATAATAATAATAATAGTATGTAAATATAATATTACATAATAAAAATAATAATAATCCATAATATAATACCAAATAATAATAATAATAATAATAATAGTATGTAAATATAATAATACATATAATAATAATAATAATAATAATAATAATAATAATAATAATAATAATATCTATAATATAATACCAAACAATAATAATAATAATAATAATAATCCATAATATAATACCAAACAATAATAATAATAATAATAGTATGTAAATATAATAATACATATATAATAACAATAATAATAATAATAATAATAATAATAAATGCTCTCACAGTCCAAACACATGCGCTATAGGGGAATTGGGTAAACTAAATTGTCCATAGTGTATGTGTGTGAATGAGTGTGTATGGGTGTTTCCCAGTGATGGGTTGAGGCTGGAAGGGCATACGCTGCATAAAACAGATGCTGGATAAGTTGACGGTTCATTCCCCTGTGGTGACCCCAGATTAAAAAAAGGGACTAAGCCGAAAAGAAAATGAATGAAGGAAGGAATGAATGAATGAATGAATGAATGAAGGAATGAATGAATGAATGAAGGAATGAATGAATGAATGAACGCCTTCGACAGCATCTCGTTAATGATTGACAAAAAGTTGATCATAATATCTGCAAACCTGTCGAAGGCCGAGTCTGAGACGTCTGTCTGCGTGAGGTCCAGATGGGTCAGATTGGGACACAGACTGAGCATCTGCCGCACCTACACAGAGGAATAACACACTTTTATTAGCCGAGTGACTGATAACCAGAGCCAGACAGAATCACGAGTCTGTTTGCTGTTTTTGACTGCCTGGCGCCATCTAGTGTAATACATCCATGTGTGAATGCATATAAATACACATATTTAAAATAATCTAAATATTAAAACTTGCAAGAATTTAAGATGCAGATGACCGTTAAACACATCATAAGAGTCTTGTGAAAAGGTTCCAAAGTAATAATAATAATAATAATAATAATAATAATATAATGTTAATAGTAATCAAAATAAAAACAACAACATAATATTAATTTTACACACCATCTTGCTGGAGAGCGTGGAGCTGTAGGCCAGGCTGAGCGAGCGCACCGAGGACCCAACGGCTGGCAGCAGCTTCTGGATGATCCCGTTCAGCAGGAGCTTCTCTCTCTGTAGAGCACTGATGGAGGAGCGCTCTGCAGACGCCTCCTCTGCACACACAAGCACAGGAACAACTAGGTTAATTAGGGTAATTAGGCAAGTCATTGTATAACATAGTTGGTTCAAGAGACAATCAAACACTAATATTGCTGAAGGGGCGAATAATATTGACCTTAACATGGCTGTAAAACTATTAAAACTCATTTTATTCAAGCCCATATATATATCTATTATCTATCATCTCGCACCCTGACCTGATTCGTCCACGTCTGCATCCTCGTCCCACTCCTGATAGGCTCTTCCATCGTCCTGGAGACTCTTTATCCAATCATCATCCGGCTCCAGATCCAGATCACCCGGAGGACCACTGTAATACTCACCTGCAGAACAATGTAATGTACACTGTAATAATAATCACCAGCAGAGCAATATTAAACACATGCAATAATAATAGTCACCAGCAAAATAATATTAAATACACCGCCCAAACAACATATTATGTATTTATTAACATCATATTAAACACACTGCAGTTTTCATGACACTGCATTCAACATTAATAAAATTAAAATCCAACATTGCTTTTTTATTCCAAAGTGACTGAACTACATGTGCTGTCTTTATTTTCTAAAGAATTCTGAAAATAATTAATAATAAAACTCAATGATGCAGCATAACTAAAAGATTAAAAAGTGAATAACTGTCTTTAATGAGTTAAAGTTTTAAAACTTTATTAAAAAGGATAAATTACTTTAAAAATGCTTTGTTTTTTATAATCTTTAAGCAAAAAGTCATTTAAACTTCCATCAACCTCCATGTGGTCACTAGAGAGCAACAAAGAACGCATTAAATTAAAGCTGACATTGTTTTTCTATGTATCTATTAATGTGGTATTTTACAATATTTTTGTATCTATATGTTGTAAATCAATTCTGAGATGTCTGATTAAGTCATATATGCAAATATATATGTAAATTTATTACATAAATTTATTACATAAATATATTACATAAATTTATTAGCATACATGTTAAATGTTTGGAAATTGCATTTATTGAAAACTTTAAAATAATCTATATGAAAAAAGTTACTAAAGATAATGTAAATGTAATCCAAAAGTAGTCAGATCGCGTTGCCTTAAAAGTAATCTAAATGTAATCCAAAAGTAGTCAAATGACGTTGTTATAACAGTAATCTAAATGTACTCCAAAAATAAAGAGATTGCGTTGTCTTAAAAATAATCTTAATGTAATCCAAAAGTATTCAGATTAAGTTGCCATAAAAGTAATCTAAATGTAATCCAAAAATACTGAGATTGCGTTGTCTTAAAAGTAATCTAAACGTAATCCAAAAGTAGTCCGATTGGGTTGCCATAAAAGTAATCTAAATGTAATCCAAAAATAGTGATATTGTGTTGTCTTAAAAGTAATCTAAATGTAATCCAAAAGTAGTCAGATTGGGTTGCCATAAAGTAATCTAAATGTAATTAAAATGTGAAATAGTCAGATTGCGTTGCCATATAAGTAATCCCAATGTAATCCAAAAGTAGTCAGATTGCCTTATGGCAACATAATCAGACTACGATTAGATTACATTTAGATTACTTTTACTGTATTTTGAAAATCAATTCTGAGATGTCTGATTATATGCAAATATATACGTAAATATGTTATTTATTAAATTATAAATACATAAAGCATACATGTTAAACACTTGGAAATTACATTATTGAAAACTTGAAAATAATCTATATGAAAAAGTTACTAAATATAATCTATATGTAATCCAAAAGTAGTCAGACTGCCTTATGGCAACATAATCACACTACATTTAGATTACTTTTACTATGTGTTGGAAATCAATTCTGAGATGTCTGATTATGGCATATATGCAAATATATATGTGACTATATGTTATTTATTAAATAATAAATATATAAAAGCATATATGTCAAATGTTTGAAAACGTTGCATTTATTGCAAACTTTAATATAACCTATTTGAAAAAGATACTAAATAAAGAAAATGAGTTCAACAGAATATAAACACACACACACACACACGCCAATGATTATCTGTTAAACATTAAAAAAAATCTAACCTAGTCTAAAAATAGTTGAATTACTCAACACTCCAATATTCAAATATAATAAAGTTCATTATTTATAAAAATGCAGGATATAAATATTTTTTATAAATATCCTACAACTGAAGAAGTTTGCTGCCATGTCTTACTTTCTGCAGTTTTACAAAAGAAAATAAATTTGATGTGTATGCCTTCATCAGACATCTCGAAATTGATTTACAAAATATAGATCAGAAATACTGGAATATATATAATAGAAGTATTGTAAAACACCATGTTAATGGATAATTAAGTATAAATGCCAACTTTAATGTATTTTTTATTCTCTGCCGCCCCCTTGTGGCCAAATAGAGGTTGACATGTGTGGAGCAAAGTAATTTGTACTTTTTAATATCATTTTAAATGTATTAATTAATTAAGAACAATTACACAGATCAGTGTTTGGTGTCTCCAGAATGTGTGTGTAAAGCTTCAGCTCTAAATACACATCAGATCATTGATTATACAATATGTTGTCTGATCAAAGCTTCCTCATTTGTAGAGATTTTACTGTCCTTTCTTTATTATTCTTAAAACATACACCATTTTAAAACCATGTGAAAGTTGATCTGCAGCTGATCACAGAGAGCTGAACACATCTTTTCAGCCCAGTTTCTTTACAAATCCTGCTCTGTGGACGTTTATATGCGTTACTATGAAGACATGTTAATATGGTCCTGTCGGTCAATATCAGTGAATAGGGGAAAAACACACTCCTTCGTCAGGTGGCGGTGGGTCTCAAAACAACTGGGATTCGGAAAGAGTCTTATTGTGTTTAAAGCACCACAATATGACTGGACACACTGATAACAGCTGACAAATGTTGATTTCGCATCAGAAGTGTGTAGTGTGCAGCAGACGCACCTCTGGCCCAGCGCACCGGGTACAGGTGCCTCCACAGAGAGCCGGTTCTGGTCACCTGAGTCCAGACGCTGCACACCTGAGCACAGCGGCACAGATCCTGCGGACCCAGAAACCTGAAGATACGCAGAAGCAGCTCCTGCGGGAGAGACGACACCGACACACGCTCCAACACACGCTCTGAGGACACACACACACACACACACACAAAACAAAGTCACCTCACACTGAAGATGAAATATTGCATGTTAAAAACATTATTGGACATTAAAATATTACAGAATGAAGATGCTTTTGAGAGTTTAGATGATGAGTGTATGTTTATCAAAGCAATTAAAAAAAATCATTATTTTATTATTATATTATTTATTTTTTTATACGCATATGCGTTTTGTTTTCATTTTCTCTCTGTGAGAGCTCAGCTGGAGTCACGTGTGGATTAACAGTGTACGCGACGCTCGACAACAATAACTTACGTGTCTAAGGAGGATTATTGTTTACCTGAGAGCTGTTCTCATCTGCAAACGCTGAGATCCGGATTCGCTTGTCGTCTCCTCTTAATAAAGACGCGGCTCTAGTTGCTGGTGATTGTCCTGTCTTTACAGATTTGGTAAGTGAGTGACCAGTGCTCTTTGTTTATTCAGTTTGTTCGTATCTAACAAACTATTGCACAGAGTGTAAACATGTTAGCACCACAACCAAACTTTAACCTCGTGTAGGGTTTTTACCACATTTAGTGACCGGAATAACACACGCGGCTTTCAGACACTACCTGCCGTGTGCATCTAAGTTTCCGGGAAATGCAGAGGGTTTTTTTCTCTCATTCGCCGTGCGGTATCAAACATTGCATGAAAAATACACGCTTAGAGCAGATCCTCGAGTCAAATATCTCGTTTGTCGCGAGGGACATGAATGAATTCCCTGAATGAAAGAGCCAAACTGCAGTTAAAGTCCACCATTTAATCATTTGGCAAATAATTCGACTACAGATGTCCATGTAAACACTGTCACTTTCTCCTGTGTGTGTGTGTGTGTGTGTGTTTTGATTCTGAAACTCAGCGTGCCCAAATAGACACTCCCACACCCTCCCACTTTAGTTCCTCCGACACTCCCCCCTAAACAGAGCTGGACACGCCCACTTTTCAGGCTTTTTCCAAAGTACAGGTGTGAAAACACCCTGCTGAAACGAGGGGTTTCATGACCCTTTAACTAATCTGGTTAACAATTAAAGCACGGGTTGATCGCGAAGCAGAAAAGCATTAAGGGTGTTGCGGATAGGGGACCTAAACAAAATCTAAACAAACCTAAATCATGTGTTGAACAGTGGAGGTCGTAATTATAGGTTGAGTATTACATTGAGTATTGTGGCATCCCGGGCAGATTCAGACAGTGTGCTGCTGTATGTGTGTGTGTGTGTGTGTGTGTGTGTGTGTGTGTGTGTGTGTGTGTATGTGTGTGTGTATATGTGTGTGTGTGTGTGTGAGTGTGCGTGCGTTCACCCTCTCCAGTCTTCTCATGGTCGGAGTATTTGAAGGCCTTCTGCAGCTCGGCGTGGCTCCACAGACTGAGGCCCTTCAGCAGTGTGTGTGTGTCTGAGCAGCTGGACTGACACTGAGAGCTGCAGTGCTGGAGCATCACCTGCTGCTTGATGGCCTTCAGCTCCTCATAGGAGAAATACTCCATCAGCATCGGCTGATACACCTAAACACACACACACACACGTGAATATACACACACACACGCACATATATCCAAACACACACATATGCATGCTCATATCATAAACTGCAGGTTCAGTCTAACTGGGTAAGTGTGAGGTGAGGTGGAGCTGATGAACTGCTGATCTACACTCATCTACAGCAGCAGAGAACACTGATCAGCTTTGGTGAGTCTGACCTCCTCTTCCTCCTTCATGTGAGGAATGAAGTCCTGTGTGAAAGCCTCCAGTCGCTCCTTCAGCTGCTGCGCGTAATTCAGCTGCTCGAACTCGCTCTGAACACAACAAACAAACAAACAAACAAACAAACAAACAAATCAATCAGGGAGTCGTTCACTTGCTGAGTCAATCTGAATCATTTGAGTCAGTGAATCATTGATGAAGTTCATCTTACTTCTTTAGTCAATGAAACAGAGAAGTGACAGCTTGACAACCACACACACTTCGACAAAAAACACACACACAACACACACAACTGGATGCGCATGCGCACACACACACTCTAAGGGGAACACACACTCTGAAATTCACACACACACTCCAACACACACATAAAAAACTCAGAGGCAAACACCCATGCGCACACACATGCACACTCTTACATGCAAACACAGTGATGTGCAGACACGCACGCACGCACACGCACACACACACACACACACACACACATACGCGCGCGCATATACACTGATGCAAAGCATGCACATACACACATACACACTGATGCACATACACACTGATGAACGCACACAGACAGACAGACACAGACACACACACACACACACACACACAAGGGCGCGCAAAAACACTGATGCAAAGAAGCATGCACATGCACACATACACACTCACACTCTGATGAACGCACAAATAGACACACACACACACATATATATACATTTACACTCTGATGCAAAGAAGCCTGCGTGTACGCACTCATACTAATGAACACACACAGACACACACACACACACAAGCTTGCGCAAATACACTGATGCAAAGCATGCACGTACACACATTCTGATGAACACACAAACAGACAGACAGACAGACACACACACACACACACACATTGATGCAAAGCAGCATGCGCATATGCACATACGCACTGACACTCTGATAACACACACACACACACACACACACACACGAATGCGCACAAATACACTGATGCAAAGCATGCGTGTACACACACTCCGATGAATGCACACACAGACAGACAGACGGACAGATGGACGGACACACACACACGTGCGCAAATATACACTCTGATGCAAAGAAGCCTGTGCGTACGCACATACAAAATCATACTGATGAACACACACACACAAACACACACACAAACAAACAAACAAACAAACAAACAAAAAAACACACTCTCTCTCACTCTCTCTCTCTTTCTCACACACAGAAACATACTCTCACTCTGACACACACACACACACACACAGGCAGGCAGACTGACCGTGACGCTGCGCAGCCCCTTCTGGAAGAGTGTGAGCATGTCGCTCAGCTTGTTGTCTGCGTGGACGTGGTAGACGGTGTGGCTGCGCTCCTGCAGCAGCTCCATGATGCACTCGTTCTCGATCTGCTCGTGCTTCTTGAACTCGGTGAAAGTGTCCAGCAGCGACTGCAGGAACGACCGGAAGTCCCTGTTGTTGGAGAAGTTTGTGTTGGACAGCTGCAAACACACACACACACACACACACACACACACACACACACACACACACACACAGGAGAAATGATGACTGCAGCTAATACACACACTAAACACTTCAGACCTTACTGATAATGTTGACATAATGTACAAGTGTGCAGCACAAACTCCACAAAACAGATGCGCGTGTGTGTGTGTGTGTGTGTGTGTGTGTGTGTGTGTGTGTGTGTGTGTGCACTACTACTCAGCGGTCTCAGCAGTTCAGTAAAGCTCTCCCTCTCACACACACACCCCTGTAATAAAAACTGTGTGTGTGTCGTGTGTTAAAGTAGTTCACTTGCAATCAGCACAGCAGCTGAAGGGACACACACACACACACACACACACACACACACACACAGAAACACATACTTTTCTCATATACACACACACACACACACTGACACAGCAAACATGCATACACTTTTTTACACACTTTTCTCAAACACACACACACAAACACACACCTTGTCCTCACACAGACAACAAACACACAAATTTTGTCCTCACACACAAACTCACACTAACACAGTAAAATACACAGAGACACACACACACACACTCTGACATACACTTTTTTTCTCAAACACACAGACTGACACAACAAACACTGACACATCTTTTCCTTACACACACAGACACAGTAAACACACTCTCACACAGAAACACTCACACACTAACAAAGCAAAACACACACGCGCGCACATTCTCTTTATTACACACACACACAGAATCACACACACATAGATTCTTATACAATCACACACACACACACACACACACACACACACACTCCTCTGATACATGCGCTTACACAATCACACATTATTTCTCTCTCTCTCACACAATCATACACACTTTATTTCACACACACATAGATTCTCATACAATTTCACACACACACACACACACACACACACACACACACACACACACACACTCCTCTGATATGTGCTTACACACACACATACACAGATTCTCATACAAACAATTACACTCTTTCTATTTCTCTCTCTCACACACACACACACACACACACACACACACACAGATCCTCCTCCACACCCTGTAAAATCAGACTGAATACCGCATTCATAATCATCTGTGACCTCACAACACCTCCACTATCAGACACGCTCATTCTGACATCATTTACCTGCTCCAAACCTTGTTTATTCAGTTGAACAAAAGAAGATATTTTGAAGAACCTGTAACCATTGACTTCCATGGTATTCACTTTTCCTACTATACAATATAGTCAGGTGGTTACAGGTTTACAACATTCTTCCAAATAACGTTATCTACTTTAGAGTTTTAACAGATGAAAGAAACCCATAAAGGTTTAAAAACCTCTTGAGGGAGAGTAAACAGAGTAAATGGTCATTTTATGGTGAACTGACCCTCGAACACATCCATCTGACACACATTTAAAGAACAATTAATGCAGAAATCATCTGATTACAGATCAGACACACTGACAAACCCCAATCTGAATAAACAGAACTAGTTATGTCAACAACATGATCATATCTGCACCTATTTGCGTGTTTATATTATCATTATTGCCCAGAAATGAAGTGTATTACAGGTCTGAGATCAGTGTGTGCTTCAAATCATCCTCACACACAATGCTAGCAGTTTGTTTCGCCACAGATCTGAGGTCAGACGTGCACATTAACCTCTTATAATATGTTTACATTAACTCACACGGATCACAATGAGTTAATATAATCATAATTACACGTATAATATGCAGAAATGATGACAGAAGCGCCGATCTGAGATCAGATGATTGTCAGACGTTGACATTAAACTCTGATCGCTGTCTGTTAGCAGTGCGGCTAGCATTAGCTCTGCGTAAACACAGCTTCGGGGATGTTAAAAAGCAGATTAAGTGTGAAATGCGATGTAAAATGGGTAATAGACGAACCTTTTCGCTGTAAAGACCCACCAGCTGCTTCATGCGCCAGTGAGGGCCCGTGAAAACATCCACCTCATCGGGAAAAGGAGCCATCGCGCCTCCATCAGCTCCACTGCCGCGGACTGAACACGCGGGCGCCAGATCCTCCAGCTCAAAATCCTCTGCCGACGCTGAACATCTGCACAAAAACATACACAAAACAACAGAGTTGTTGAGAGTAGATTATTTTCATGATAAAGAAAGACATGGATTGAAGTAAAATTTTAAAAAGGATGCCACATATATTATATTTCAAGGCTGATTTAAAGATTTATCTAATGTTTTAAAGTACGTATTATTTTTTTAATAACATACTCAAACAACTAATATAGTATGAACATACTCAAACAACTAAACTAATTATAAATATGAATATATACCCTTCTTGTTTTATTTGTTTTATTCTATTAGTTTAATTGTACAATTTTGCTGTTTTCTGTCATGTTGTGGATGTCATGATTGTACGATTATGCTATGATTGAAATTTAAATAAAGAAAATAATTAATAATAGTAATAATAAACCATGGTAAACAAATCTATTTTAAAATCTGGAATATAAAAGCCCCTTTAATGTTGTCCAAATTACGTTTTAGGCATGCGTATTATGCAAATCAGCAATGGAGAAATAAATAAATCAGGAAAATCACCAAATGTCTTATTGGAAATTGATCTTTTGTAAATATTTGAATGATATTTATTAAGCTTTAAAAAAAATCAATATTTTTTAATTATACCTGTGCAATTCACGACTGAAGTTTTACAGCGTAAAATCCTTTTAAAAGACTTTTACAGTACAAAACATTACTTTTATCATCATGATTACTGTATCTGGCTCGTATATTTTAAGTTATATAGTGACGATTTTAAGTTATAGTAAAACAATGGGACACTAAATAAAACTTTTATGCAAATTAAATACACCTCAAAATGCTAACTCAAATGCTTGCATGTAGTGTCGAATTTGGAGGATTATGACAGAACTTGGCAACCAGGATGACGGAGTTACGTCTACGTGCGCAGTGCCATGTTCAAGACACATGCACGGCTCGTACATAAACACAAGAGTGCGCACTGCTAAATAACTTATATTTACATAAGAACATGTCATTATATCACTTATTTATGTATATATAACATATTAAAAACCATTAATCGCAGAAAATACATGAAATCGTTAAAGCTACGCTATTTACTCCGTGTTAAATTAATAGTATGTGATGAGATGCTGTTAGAAAAACACTTACAGTATATTTTAGACACCAACAATTTTATTTATGGCAACAAAATCATGATTATTAATCTTTAAAAGAAATAAAAGAAGGTGCGAAATGGGGAAAAACAAACAGTTATATTAAACCTCTAAACTTACATGAAAATATTCAGATTATACAGGTATGGAATCATTTTAATTCCCAACAGAGATACTGAACCTAAATCTTTTAGCAATATCGTCCCCGACTATGAGCAGAGTGCAAATATCAAATTGATATTTAAATAAAATATAAATGAAAGAGCTGATGAATAAAGGAACGAGAAGCTATTGCTTTTCTACAATCACAAAACCGCAGAAAAACTCGATGCGTGAGCTGCGTATAGTGTTACAACTGTCCAACAAATTACACTATTTAAATAATCATTTATTTATTGGTGTATGTTAAATTTTCCGGTGCAAAATATCTTAAATCAAGATTACTTGAGTCTTGTTTTCTGAAGAATATCTCAGCATGAAGTGGGTCTGTTTATATATCTCGATTTAAAAACATGTAACGTTTACATACTTGTACTGGAAAATAAGTCAATAACCTCACATTGTGCAGCATGTTCATCACACTGAGTTCTGGTTTAATTTTAAGGTCATTTTCAGCAGAAACAAGTCAGAAAGAAAGAATAACTCCACAAACTACATCAGATTTCAGCGTTTTCAATAGCTATGATCGTTTTCTGTGCATGTCGGCACCTCGCCGAGTCCATCTAGACGTAAATATCACATTTCATTACAGTTTATCAGAAACGTTTGTATAAGAAATCCTGATATTTTTGGGTTTGTGTCAGGCTGATTTCTCTCTGGTCCTTTATGTTGCGTTTCCTCCACACCAGAGGAGGCGCTGTTGCATTTAGCTGTCATCCTGCAGCATCTCCTCGATTTCGCGATCCCAGTTATCGTCACGGTTTTCTGGATCGACCACCACCTCGTACTCCTGAAGCTCCTGCTGTAACTCCTTCTCCCAATCAGCCGTCTCTTCTAGAGGACAGACAAACAAACAGACAAACGTGAACGCTACAAAAATATTATAACTTAGCGTAAAATGTTAACGTGCTGTATTATTGTGCTGAGTTTCCTACAAAAGCTTTAAAGTCAGAAAACACATTTTTAAAATAATATTTAATACTAGAATAATCACACAATGATTTCGATATGATTCGTTTGAATCAATTCAGGCCTTAAGGTCTGTAAGCCCCTCCCCCTTCCATAAACCAACTCTGCGCTGATTGGTCAGCTGGTCATGTCTGTTATGACTAATGAAATAAATGTAATCCAAAAGTAGTATGATTAGATTGCCATAAAAGTAATCTAAATGTAATCCAAAAGTAGTCAGATTGCATTGCCATTAAGTAATGTAAATGTAATCTAAATGTAACAGATTACACTACCATAAAAGTAATCTAAACGTAATTGAAAGTAGTACAATTGCACTGTCAAAAATGTAATCTAAATGTAATCCAAAAGTAGTCAGATAATGCTACTATAAAAGTAATCTAAACATAATCCAAATGTAGCAGATTATGTTGCCATAAAAGTAATCTAAAAGTAGTCAGAGTGCATTGCCGTAAAAGTAATCCAAGTGTTATCTAAAAGTAGTCAGATTGCATTGCCATAAAGTAATGTAAATGTAATCCAAATGTAGCAGATTACACTACCATAAAAGTAATCTAAATGTAATCCAAAAGTAGTCAGATTATGCTACAATAAAAGTAATCTAAATGTAATCCAGAAGCAGTCTGATTGTGTTGCCGTAAAAGGTATCTAAATGTAATCCAAATGTAGCAGATTACACTACCATGAAAGTAATCTAAATGTAATCCAAATGTAGTCAGATTACATTACCACAAAAGTAATCTAAATGGAATTCAAATGTAGCAGATTACATTATCATGAAAGTAATCTAAATGTAATCCAAATGTAGTCAGATTACATTACCATGAAAGTAATCTAAATGTGATCCAAATGTAGCAGATTACAATACCATGAAAGTAATCTAAATGTGATCCAAATGTAGCAGATTACAATACCATGAAAGTAATCTAAATGTAATCCAAATGTAGTCAGATTACATTACCATGAAAGTAATCTAAATGTGATCCAAATGTAGTCAGATTGTATTGCCATGAATATTATCTTAATGTAATCCAAAATTAGTCAGATTGCGTTGCTGTAAAAGTAATCTATAGTAATTCAAATAAGCTGAGATTATGTTGCTGTAAAAGTAATCTAAATTTAATTAAAAAGTAGTCAGATTGCATTGCTATAAAATTAATCTAATGTAAACCAAAAGTAGTACAAATGCACTGCCACGAATGTAATCTGAATGTAATCCAAAAGTAGTCAGATTAATGTGCCATAAAAGTAATCTAAATGTAATATAAAAGTAGTCAGATTCCACTACAATAAAAGTAATCTAAAATGTAATTTAAGAGTAGTCAGATTACATTACCATATATGTGTAATCTAACAGATCACATTAATGACTTGTAATCTGTCCAGTATCTGATAAGAATTCCTAAGTAATCCACCCAGCTCTACAGCTTCACTATATTAAAGCACTGTGGCAGATCAGCCTTAAAGGTACAGCGTCCTCTTTAACTGACCGTCTTTCTTGTCCAGCACCAGCTGCTTCATCTCGTTCCGCAGGTCCTCCTGGTTTATATCGCAGGTGTCGAAGGCGTCGCTCACGAACTCAGACACGCCGGGGCTGGTGGAGATGTCTTCCTCTATCTGTTAGCATTAGCAGATAATGTTAATTATCACTATGATCTGATATAATACTGCAGACGTGAGCTAAAGCTGTACCTCAGTGGTCTTTGTTTTACTGCTGATGGACACAGGAGGGGTTTTGGGTCTGATGCTCTCTGTCAAGAAGGGAAATAATAGAATAATAATGGTCAATAATGTTCAGCTTTAATAGTTTCCTCTTCATGCTCTGTGCATCGTCAGGAGCTGCAGATACTCGTGTTCATCTATCATAATGTTAAGTGTGTGTAAAGTGTGTGTGTGTTGAACCTGAGATGCTCTGGTCGCTCTTCTCCTCGTCTCGTTTCTCTGCCGCCTGCTGTTGCGCAGCGAGAGCCGTGAGCTGAGCCGACTGCTTGATCAGAGACACGCGGTAGAAATAATTCCTCCAGAACACGTCCTCCTTCACCCTAAAACACACACGCACACACATACACGCACCAGTTTAATATTTTGATTGCACAACTCAATTCGATTCCATTCACAGTTTTGGGTTCACAATTCGATTCAATTTAATTGACAATTCGATTCAATACATGATTAAAATTTTTGTTTTTGCTCTATATATGCAAATTTTACCATTTGCGCTATATATAATCAAATCTTACAGTATGTGCTCTATATACGCAAATTTTAGCGTTTGCCCTGTATATATGCAAATCTTAGTTTGTGCTTTATATATGTAAATCTTACCATTTGTGATCTATAGATGCAAATCTTACCGTCTGCGCTATATATATGCAAATCTTACAGTTTGTGCTCTATATATGTCGATCTTACGTTTGCGCTCTTTATATGCCATTCTTACGTTTGCATCTTACGTTTGTGCTCTATATATGCCAATCTTACGTTTGTGCTCTATATATGCCAATCTTACGTTTGCGCTCTGTATATACAGATCTTACGTTTGCGCTTAATATATGCACAACTTACCTTTGCGCTCTATATATGCAAATCTTACATTTGCGATGTATATGTGGAAATCTTACGTTTGCGATCTATATATGCAAATCTTACAGCTTAGACTCTATATATAAAAATCTTAGCGCTTACACTCTATTTATGGTAATATTACCATTTACGCTCTATAGACAGTGATCTTACATTTGCACTCTACATATGAA